GGTGCTGATGAACAGAAAGAGCCCTGGGCTTGGAGTGAGAGACCCACATCCATGGTCAAGTCCCTGCCACCATCTTGCTGTGTGACCTCCAGCAAATGACTTCCCCATCTCAACCTCGGTTGCCTCATCTGTCAAATGGGAATACTGCCACCTAATACACAGGGCTGTCTTCAGGACAAAATGGGGTATCAAATGACACTGTACATTTGTACCTACTTGACAAATGTGAGGCATCAGGGTGAGACACCTGAAGCTCAGTCCACACCCCCGAGGGCATTTCAGATGCCCCACAGCCTGCAATGTCTCGGGAAGTCTCTCTCAGCTGTTCCAGCTCCAATCAAAGCCTGTCCTGTAAAAACATGACCCCATCCAAAGAAGCAATCTCGCATGTGTTTGGTGGGCCACCTGCCCACGGGGCACAGCCTCCTGGGCCACAGACGTCAACAGCAGCCCCTTCCTGGTGGGAGAAGGAACAGGGAACTGGCTTGTTCTCTAAGAGCAGAGTGCTGGCGGGTGATGAGGAACATTTTAAGGTGGGATGCTTCTTCCTGCACCGTTGGCAGCTGTCTACGTAAGGCGCTCATTATGTGCAGGCCCCAAGGCCAGTGAGCCTGAGAGGCCAAGCTAAAATTAGTGTCAGATGTGCACCCGCCAGACACACTGAACATCCGAAGGTCAGATGCCTCCAAGCAGCCACCCGGGCAGGAGTGCGGCAGATGGGCACCAAACAGCTGTGGCAGCTGCTGCCTCTTGTTCCTCCCAGACACGGAGACCGACAGCCCTGTGCAGCAGCCTGGTTCAATAGCCCAGCTTGAGTTAAAAAATAGAATGCAGAGTATAATCCTAATTAAAAAAAAAATCTGTGTATGTGCATAGAAAAAGAGGTGGAAGAGGAATTTACTAAATAGCCCAGTCATGGATGTGGAATAGTAGTGAGTTTTTTTCCTCTACTTTTCAAAATTTTCTCAATACATACGTACTACTTTTGTAATCAGAAGAATACACAATAAGATGCTATGTTACATATTCCCATGAAATATATAAAATGATTAAATTGCATATGCTTATGACAGGTGGTATATATGTGTATGTGAATATATTTATGCGGCTGGCTGGTGTTAAAGATCAACATTTCCCAACCCCACATTGTACGGAGGAGACGGAGGCCCCAGGAGCAAAGCAGGAAGCAGAGAGGCAGATTTTCACCGAGGCTGGTGTTGCACTGGAGTTTCCCCAAGCCTTGCCCCACTTAATTCTGTAGTTGGTTTTATTCCCACTTAATGGAGATGGAAACTGAGGTACAGAGAAGTGAACTGATTCACTCAAAGATGACCAGTTCAGAAGCCACAGAGCCAAATCCCAATCCTAGCTTTCCACCCACAGCCCACTGAGCTTCAGGAAAGGAAGGGCCTTTGAAAAAAGAACAGAACAAAACAACAACAAAAACACCCCACTCCTTGAAGTCTCAAACATTCCGAAAGCAACCTCTTAAGGGACTGAGTTTTGAATTCTTTCCTGAGCCCCTCTAGGTGCACGCCTTCCTTAGCTCTGGGGGGTCATGGTCATCTACCCATGGGAACCTTGGAGAGGACGGGTAACAAATCATGACATGGGGGAACAAAGGGCACAGCAAATCCCAAGGTAGATGGGGCAGGTGCCAGGCCTTTGGGACAGGGGAGGGGGAGGAAGTTGGCTGGAGAGGCTGCTGTCTAAACTCTCAGTCCTCCAGTACTTTGGGAGGGGCAGCACCACACAGCAACGCCAGATGCCCTGATCTGAGGCCTTTGCTCCAGTTCCTCCCTCTGCACGAGTGCCATCTCTATCCCCATATGCTGCCCTCAGTCTTCCAGGGCCCAGTTCATCCAGGCATTTGTGCATTCTTATTGGTGAACACATTTTAACTGAGGGCCTGCTAGGTGCTAGAGCAAAAGACATAGTATCAACCCTGTAGGTGCCTCTAGTGCTCAGAGAAAGGCTACCCAGGGTCATTCAAGCATAGACTCTGGGGTCAGACTGGCTAGGCTCACCCTGGCTAAGCCACTTCATAGCCCTGTGCATTTGGGCCAGTCACAGTCTCTCTGTGCATCAGCTGTCATCTGTAAAAGAGGATGAAAACAGCACCTGCCTCATAGACTAGTGCAGGTGGAGTGTACATCTGTGTAAAGCTCTTAGAGAACAGTGCCTGGCATGTAGTAAGTGCTCAATAAACCTCAGTTGCTATAAACATTCTCATCATTACCCTCTGGTGCAGATTCCCTCCTTATGGTGCCCACCCTGCTTTTCTCCTCTGGCTGCTACCTCCTCTACGGTCCCATAGCACTTTGAACACCCCTCCATGAGAGCACTGATGAGCATGCAGTACAGGTGTCTGAGACCCTGTTCCCTCCTTGTCTCCACCTGGGTAGGGACTGAGTTTATTCATCTCTATCCCAGCACCCAGCACAGATGTTATAACACCACCAGGATTATGTCACCATTTGCAGCTAATGTGTGCACTCAACTCCAATCGAGAAAAGTCTTAGAGGCATTAGAGGTTGCCTATCTGGTCTTATCATGGAGCTCATCAATGTTGCCCTTGAACTGTGGGGCCTGACCCTGGGTGTGACCTTCCCGATGAGAACCAAGTTGATGAGGGGGCTGTGTGCTAAGCTTCCATGAATGCTTCTCTGTGACAGGGAGTTCTGCTGGGCAGGATATCGAAAACACCAACTACTGACACCCCAACACACCCTGGTGTTTCCCATGCCATGCCTTTCTCCACTGGGGCCCCATGCCCTCCCCCTGCTGAGCTGAGAACTCCCATGGATCCTTTGGGTGCCAGCACTCCTCGCTCCACCCCCACAATGCTTCTTCTAGCCACAGCCCCTACCAAATGTAGCTCCCTCTCTCCTGGGCTTCTCTTGTTTCTGCCCTGGGCCTGTGGGGCTGCTCCTGCTCTCAGTGTGTGGCTATTCCTCTATGTGTCCCTTCTGGAGAAGGCACAAACTTGCTCTTGTTTGGGCCCCTAGCGTCCACCAATGCCAGGATCAGAGGGGTGTCAGGAAAGCTCTGCTGAGCGCACTTTTCAAAGGAAAGTCAAGCCCATTGGCCTGACCTCCCGTTAAGGCACGCATGCTGACTGCTCACACGACCTTCTGAACCCAAAACTCACAAGTGGCTCTAGGCCAGCCCTGCCCATCAGCTGCCACCCACTCCATCGCAGGGCTGAGTTGGCAGGGGAGCCCTGAAAGTAAGTGCTGACCACGTGGTGCGCACCGTGCTGGCTTCTCGCTCGAGCTCTTGCATTTGACTCTGGCACCACTGCGGGAGGTGGGTGTTCTATACAGAGAGGCCCTCCTGAGGCTCTGACGGTTCCACTGCTCCTCAAAGGAGGCATGGGGTAGGGTTGCAGCAAGGCTCTCTTTGGCCCCAGAACCTACTCTTTCTACACTCCTGTGAGACAACAGGTGTGAAAGTGTTCTGAGTTCTACCAAGAGAGGAAACTGTAAAACCATAGAATTGCCAGTTCTTACCCACCACACAGAAACTGCTCTAGGACAACCTTGCTATCAAAAGAAGTCTTTAGGGGCCTTGGGAACAGCATTGAATTCTTACAAAATTGCTGCCCAGGAGGGGGTGGCCTATTGTCCTTCAGGGGCAGGAAAGGAGGAGAGTGAGTGGGAGCTGGAAGAGCAGAAGAGAAGCAGTCCTGTGGCCGGAGTGGCAGCCCAACGCAGGATGGGGCCCCGGGGACCTGAAAGGATGCAGAGGGATGGTGGAGTCTGTGACAGCTGAGGTCACAGACACTTCAGCACGCGGTGTTCTGCCCCGGGCCCCTGTTGATGTTCTTTAGGTTCTGACATGTGCACCTCCTCTCATCTCAGCCTCCCCACCACCTTCCTCCCCGCCCTCCCACACCCTGCTAGGGGCCTCTCTCAGAACCACAGGGCTGACTGTCTCCCTTCCCTGCTTGTGTAGGACCCAGCCCAAGCTCCTGGGTGACCTTCAGAGTCCTGCTGCTCTCTTGGCCTCACTCCCACCCTCCTCCTCTTGGGCCCTGCATCCCAGCGACTCCACTGCTCCACTTGCTGTCCCTTCGGCTTAGAATGCTCTTCTTCCATTTTTCACCTGGTGAACTTCTATTCATCCTTCAAAGTCCAGTGCAAGTGTCACCTTCAAATTGTCTTCCTTGAACTACCCCCACAACCAAACCCTGAAAGAATAGAGCCCTCCTGCCTTCACAGGTTTTGCTGTTCTGTGGCTATTTGCACGTCGATCTCCTCCACTGGAGCAGAAGCTTCTTGAGGACAATGCCATGATTTGTTCATCTCTGTGCCTCAGTGCCCAGCACAGAGGATAGAGCACAACAGGCAATAAATGATGTCCTGATGACAAGGTCATAAGAGGGCAGGCACGGGGCTGGTGATTGCATCTGAGTTTGACTTCCAGCAGTGTTTACTAGGAGGAATACAGGCCCCTCCCCAAAATGCACACATACACATATATGGTGAACACACAGCCCAGTCCAGGATCTCGGTGGCTGTAAAGTCCATGGAACAATCAAACAGAAGACTGAGTTCTAAGGACGTGGTACACAGCTGCAGGGTCAGCCCTACTGTCCTCCCCAGAGCCCATGGCCTTGGCCTGAGCCCTGCTGGGTCCACCAAGTCCCACTCCCTCACTTTGCAGACCAGGAAACAGAGACCCAGAAAGGAGGCACTTGCATGAGATTTTCCTGAGCAATAAAGGCAGGCCTGGGGTCAGAAGCATTTCCCCTGGCTCCCGGCCCAGGACTCTCCCATGACCATATGCTGCCATTTGCAGAAATGCCAGCTGCAGAACTTGGGACATTTGGGTGGCTTTTTCCTGAAGTCTCGGTAGCATGTGGGGCTCCATTCTCCTGCCCGAGGCTGAGGTCATTCCTGTCTACCTCCTGGCCTCAAAACACAGCCTAGTGGCCTTTGGGCTATGCTGAAACTGCCCTGTGTCCTGTGGTGTGATGAGGGATGGGGAGGGCTCACCTGCCAAAAGCCAGCCGTGGTCTCATGGTCGAGATGTGTCAGAGATTTCTAAAGCTTGGAGAGCTGTGTTGGAGGGAGGCCTGTGGGAAGTAGAGAAAGTGAGAATATTATGCCACCGCCATCTGTCAACTTTCATCTGAGTTTGAAAAATGCATCCAAAAATGGAGAGCACAGCCTTGCTGAAAGCAAGGCCCCAGCCACCACCCCTTCTCCAACATGGTTATGACAAGGTCAAGATCAGGTCCCTGGGGATGAAACCACAGTCTCAAAATCCCAGTACAGAGCTGAAAGTCACAAGTTGTCTGCCCCTGGGAACCCCACAGTTATGCTGGTCCTGTGTTCAGGCCTGAGGCTGGAGGAACTCCCACTTTCAAACACTCCTCGGGGAAAACACCCTTTGTGGGTTCCCTAAGCACCGTTCATTGTCATTCACTCATTCTTGCTTTCATTATTCATTCATTCAGGCAAGCATTGCCATTTGGGAAGGTTGTTAGATGCTGGCGTCAGGTCCTCACAGAGATGAAGTCTCTGAGTGTAACAGCCTAGATCCAGTAAGAAAGGCGGGTGTGGACCCAGGACAAATGCCACAGGCTGGTGGGTTGCCTCCCTTCTCCAAGTGACCTCTGTGCCAGGTGCTGGGCAAAGCACTTTGGTTAAGCCATGCAGGATGGCAGAATGTTCCTACCATTTTCGGCACAATGACCTCTCTTTGTATGAAAGTATTTCTCCAAATTCCTCCTGATGGTAACTGTATACCTATTATCTTCTCATTGAGAAAATAAACAGTACAAAAGTTACAATGAACTAATGCTTTGCAATTAACTTGTATTTTAGTAATTACAGCACCACTACATATGTTTAAATTACAGTTGGACACATACTCATTTGAGACATGTTATTTATGTCTTCTGGGCTTAAGGCTTTGAGCCCTTGGGGATCCATTCATTCAATATTCATTCATTCAACAGACATTTATGGAGCATCTCTGAGATGCCCAGCCCACTGGTTCAAAGGTTAGGGATCCTGGTTCAGGAAGGAGCTGCAGCTCTGCAGTGAGGTACACTTAAGCTTAAGCCCAGGTAACACTGGATGTGTGCCCTTAGGGAGGCCATCTGGTCTTCCTCCAGCTCTGAGTCCTCAAGAGCAAGATGCAGATGTAACTGACATTGGAAAGTTGTTATGAGGGGTAAATGAGATAGTAGAAAGCACCCAGGTAAGAGCCTGGCACAAAGCAGAAGCTCAACAAACGGGCACCCAAGGATTATCATCATCCCCATCAACATCAACGTCATTACTATCAACAACAGCAGCAGCACCACCAGCACCATCTTGCTTCCCTTCTCTTCCTGAACCTTCAGAAGCCTTTCCTTGTCTCTCTACTAGGGTATACAGCAGTTTCTACCTTATAATAGAGTTATTTGTATCCACATTTATAATACTTTATAATAGAGTTATTTGTATCCACATTTATAATACTTTATAATAGAGTTATTTGTATCCACATTTTCTTTCTTTGGTTCATGCCCAGCTCTGCAATTTCGGAGTTGTGTGAACTTAGGTAAGTTATTTAACCTCTCTGAATTTGTTTCCCCATATGTAAAATGGGAGCTGTATTTTTAGTAATTCATTGACCTGTAATGACTAAATGAACTGATGTACATAAAACCTCAATACAACATTCATCATGTGGAAAATGCTCAGATATTACAGGTTATTCTTGTTCATGTTATTGTTATTATTATTACCATTATTATTAATATAATTTCTCCTCCTGACCTGTGAGCCCCTAGGGGCATAGCCATTGAAAATTCATTTCTGTCTCCCTGCAGAGTCTAGCACAAGGCTGGTCTCCCAGCAGACATTAATAAATGTTTGCTAAAACAGTTTTGGAGGTTCACACAAATCAAGTGCAAAATAACTCAAGGGGCATGGTCAAGGGTAAAGAGCCTTGTTAGGACCCTGAAAAACCCCAACAGATGTCCTGAAGGGAGCTCTTTGTCACCCATGGAGCCAAGCTGCAGGACTGCTAGGACCATTCATTCATTCATTCATTCACTTATTCATCACACTGACACCCAATTTTCACTTTGAATAACAAACCCTTGCCCAGTGCTTTTTCCTATTGTGAAATATTGTTTCCATCTGCCACCTCATTTAGTCTCCATGAAAATTTTGGGAAGAAGAGAATAGGTACATTACTGACAATCCATTCTGTAAAGAGATGAAGGCCCAGAGAGGTGACAAGGCTTGACAAAGGACATTCAGCTGTCAAGGCCACAGTGGGAAATGGACCAAGGTTCTGCTCATGATCTTGACTCCTTCCTGCTGGTCCTGTTGATGTCAAGCACTTTACAAATCCAGGATCATTCCTTCTTGATTCTCAGCAAACAAAACTGAATTAAATTTTTGTGTGTGTTATTTTAACATGACTGTTGGCAAAGAAAGACTCTAAGTTCCAGAAGGGCAGAGACAATGAGAGCCCTAACAGTGTGGGGGCAGGTAAATGTATGAACTCTGATCCCAGACTGCATGTGTCCGAATCCTGATTCTGATACTTAATAGCTGTGGGACCCTGGGCAAATTACTTAACATCTCTGTGCTTCAATTTCTTCCTCGATAAAGAAAGGATAATAGCTATCTATAGGGTTGTTGTGAGGATTAAGTGATCTAATCCATGTACAATGCCTAGAACAGTGCCTGGTGCATAGTAAGGATTAGTTGTAATTATTATTTGTGATGTATCTCCAGCGCCTAGCATAAGACCCAGCACATAAAAAATCCCTAATAAACATTTATTGGATTGTTGAATGGATAAAATACTTTCTGTAAAGAAGTAAATATCTATGCTCTAAGTATTATTAAATATCTATGCTTAAGTATTATTGGGCAAGGCAAAAGAATAGCTGAAGCTCTGGCCCCGAAGAAACTGGAGTCCCCCAGTTCCTTGCTCACAGATCCAGGCGGGAGGAGATTCGTGATTCCAGGATTCAAAGGCCTGTCCACCAACTGGCAGTAAATGTGACTCATGGTTAGAAACACAGGTTTTAGAGTCAGACACTCAAATTCAAGTCCTCACTCTTGCTCTGTCACTCACTGGTTGTATACTTACCTCCCGTACTTGCCTCAGTATCCTCATCTGTAAAATGGGAATACTCACACCTACCTTGAAGGGATGTTGGGTGGATTAAATGTCATATGCAGGAGGTGAAGCTTCCTGCACCTGGGCCCAATCCACAGCCACAGGAACAATGAGCTTACAGGATCAACAGCAGCTCATCCTACAGGCCAACTCATTCTGTGCTAAGCATTGCTTCTACGGCTCTCTCCCTGTCAGGGGTTTTGGGGGCCTTCACCAGGGGTGGACTCATTTGTATAGCCCAGGCTCCACCTTCTAGGCCAAAAGGCTGCTATGAAAAGGCAAATCCTCTATTTGGCTTCAGCATGAACTGGGCTCTGTGGAGGCGAGACAGCTGCTTGGGAAATGGGCTCCTGGGAAAGGTGGTCTCCAGAGAATCAGCTTAGAAGAGTTCCTTGCAAGCGCCAGTGCCAGCAACTAGCAGCCTGCATGCAGCTGCCTCTGAGTCAGTCCCAGTCCCTGTGGTGGCTACAGACCCTTCCTTTAGTCTGTTTCCCCCACTAAGATCGCAAGGCTGGCAGCCTGTCCTGCCTATGGGGAGGAGCTAACATCCATCGAGCCAGAAGCGAATTCTTTGCCTCGTTTAGACTTCACAATGAGCCTGTGGTGAGCACTTGAATCTTGCCACACACCAGCCATGAGACCCTGGTCAAACCATTTAGCTGCCCATGTCTGTTTCCTTATCTGTGAGCACATGTTAATATCCTTGTTCATCAGACCCATTTTGCAGAAAAGGAAGCTGAACCATACAGAGGGAAAGGCATTGTGAAGATCATAGAACTAGTAAATGACAAAGCTGGAGCTGTTTGACTTCAAAGTTCCATGCATTCATTCACCCATCAATTACTATTTTAGAGCCTACCATGTGGTGGGCACTGGATTCATAGACTCTTTTTAAAAATATTCATATTATCAATTTCCCATTGCTCCTAAGATACTAGTATGCAAGGTAATTCAATTTAACAAAGACACAGCAAGTCCTTCTACGTGCCCAGGCACTGTGTGAGGTTCTGGTATAAAGGCTCACATTGAACCCTCATGACAATTCTGCGCAGTTGACCTTTTTAATGCCCTTTACAGATGACAAAATGGGTAATTCCAAGAGGCAAGAGAACGTGTCCAGGCTCACTCACGCAGCCTGGATGGACGCCTGTGCCCATCTGATGCCAAAACTCACTTCCTTCCCTTCCCACCATGTTGTTTCTTTCTCTCCAAGATGCTCTCATCTCCCCACCCTGGCCTGGCCCATAATGATGCAGCCTCTGGAAGTTCCCTCAGTACCCCTGGCAGAGGGTGTTCTCCATCCAGCAGGGAAGGACAGCTGTCAGCCCTACCAGCCTGCGCCGTCCACACTGGATCTTCAGGCCACTGCTTCTCCCTGGCTCCTTCCACTCCCTGAACTTGACCCCAGGATGACAGACCTATAAAACCCAGAAACTTGTTTGCTTGTATCTTACCTACTTCCAAAAAGGATGTGAGGAAGATTAAGGAACAAAAGTGCAGACCGAGGCTCAAAACACTGGACAAAAGCAAAAGCAGATGTAAAGGAGCAGGGGGTGCTGGAAGCCAGTGTTTGGAAGAACACTGTCTGGCGCTCACGGGGTATGAGGAAATGGGTGCTCTCACATCGCTGCTGGTAGTGAAAATAGACAGAGTGCGTTTGAAAGGCAGTGTCAGAGTGTGCATCAAGAACTTTGCCTCACAAATATCCACACTTCTGGGCGTCGTCATCCCAATTCCCAGGAAGACAGTCTAAGAAAAAAAATTGTAAGCAAGTTCCATGCGGTCTTACTTCTAATACAGAGACATTGAATACCGACAGCAAATCTAAGTGCTAACACATGGAAAGGGCTAACACACCACTGAAAACTAGGGTACAGCTATATCAGGGGTTGACAGCCTGTAGGACAAATCCAACTGCTAGCCTGTTTTTGTAAATAAAGT